TTGGTTTTGAGGAGATTTTAAGATCTGAATCACGCAAACAAGTAATACAAGCATTAGCCAACTTATACACTATTGCACCAATGCTAACAAAAATTGTTATATATGATTCAGGTTGTTTATTAGCAAAATCTGTTAGAGGTACTTTTGCCGATGGTTCGATATCAAATGAACATAATAATAGTCCTGGAGTTAAAGCTTTAACAGAAGTGCGGTTTTTTGTGGATCGTTTTCATTTATCAAATCATAAAGATGTAAGCAATTATTAATATTTATATATTTAGCTTTACTTTATGATTCATTTAGAAATATTGTCACACACATTTGAATCTTGATGTGGATGATATATTAAAAAATATCAACAGTAGTTCCTGTGAGCAGATAAATTCTTGGATAAAGTCTTATTGCCATATGCTTTCCAACATGACCGAGTACCGATTTGCGGCCATGTTATTGATTCTGTTTCATTTACGTAATTGTTCACATACCAAGTTGTGTAATAGATGGGTTGATGTTAAACAAGAATTAGTGAGTGATTGATTTTCTTCTTCTGATCGATGTATTTTTATTTTTCACTCGTTAGTTTAAGAAAAATAATCAGTTATTTGCAACACCACGTTCATCATCGAATCAATTGATCCACAAGGAAGCAAATGAATATAATTTAAGGCAGTAAATGTTAAAAATTCGATGAAATATCAGCTTACTGAAATGAATCTTAATGTATGAATAAAAGATTTAACAATTAAGAGATTGATAATTTATAGATATAGTATTTGATGCTGTTATTTTTAACATTATTTTATAAAATAAAACTTAAACTACACTTGAAGAAAATTGAAAATAAATTCTTAAAGGTCTTTCGAGAAAGATACCTACAGATGTTACGTCTAAATCCGATAAAGGACAATAAATTGTAGTTAAACAAAGATTAATAGTAAAAACACACAATGTGCTCTATAAAATTCTACGAAAAGATGCTACGTCGTATTCATTATACACGACTTAAAAGCAATCGAATTGATAGTTGGAAATCATACTCATGCTATTGTAACAATGACTATTTTACAAATGCGGTTCTCGAAAAGTGTATGACATATCATCAGACAAAATAATTATTCGCTAGAAGTGACTCATTTCTAATCCTGACCGAGACTTTTCACAATTAAAAAAAGACATAAGCAAAATACACAATGTAATATTTGTCTGACTCAGAGTGAAAGAAATGTAACAGACATATAAAACTATGTATTACAGATCTGTTGCCTTGCAAGGGGAATCAGATTAATCTCATGACTTGTTCATTATCGAGAGTGCATAACTGTTCTGATCCTCTGACTAAGGTAATCTGTGCCACAACAAAACTAAACAAATCACAAAAAATATCTGAAAGAGATGTCACAAGTGATCTAATCAAAATGAAGCATCTGTAATAAAGCACATCTTTCTTCCAATTTATCGTATACGTCTCTGTGAGTAGGGAAATACTCAGGTATTAGACACTATTAAATTCACGTTTGAAATTCTAAAACCGAAAACTACATTCGAAACACATTAATCGCTTATTAGTTTGCTGCACATGCCATATACATATCATCCTCATGACCAAATAGGATAGAGAAGCGAACAGAGAGCTTTTTATATAGATGCTCAGTCGATAGAAATTGCGATCAGAACAACGATTTTGCTCTTTAAAATAATAATACCAATAATAAAATAATACGAACAGAAACGTCAAAGCGAGCTATTTAATCTTTCCCATTCACCACATATGAGAATTCGTCTTGAAAAGTATAAACTCTCTTTACAAGAACCTCAGAAAAAGCGTATAGATAGTACAGACGAACTCATTCAAATTGACCTTTAGTATACAAGATGCAATTTCGAGACAGTACATTTTCTTCCATAAGAAACTACCCGCTTCAAAGAAATTGCAGTCTGGGCCCAGCCTGATCTACACATATTTATTACTATTCGCAGAAAATGAGCTACTTTCATGGCATATTCACTGTAGATTACATTCTAGCTGAACAATCGGACCAAATCTATACACGTAGGATGTAAAGCTTCATCATGGCAATCATCATTACTTTCACCCTCATCAAAAGCACAGAACGGATTAGCTACGTTCCAGATTGCGATATTCAATTTGTACCTTCAGGCTGTAATATATATCCTATTCAATATGGCTCTTGACTCTTTGACATCCTTGGATTTCTTGGATTCCTCAAGGATTCGTAATTCACGGAATTCGGACACTACTGCTCTCATGACAATAAAAACAATATAAAACCCTTTTCCAAATATTAGCATACATTTTCACTTCTATTTCAGATCATAACCTAAACTAACACACTGAATTCTATCGATCCTTACATTAATGAAAATCAAATCAAAGATATTCTACTTCAACATCTGATCATACCCGAACAAAATATGTCGAAACCATGGTAGTGGGAACTCAACTCACCCTCACCCTCAAGATAGTTTAGTATATTTCTTTTGAGCTATATACACAAACCATCTTTATTGACAAAAATATTTCTTGATATTACCGGACTTTCACCTTATCACAATCATCAATTTATCAATAATTGTGAAATACTTTAAGTATTGTGTTATTGTACTCACTCTAAAAATTTTGAGCGAATCTATTTCTTTCCAAATAGAATTTACTATTTTGTACTGATTTGTTGATTTTTATCTTCGAATCATTGTACTGATACTTGCTACTCGATAATCAATTTATCAATGATTGTGAAATACTTTAAGTATTGTGATTATTGTACTCACCCTCATCCTCAGCTGCTACCATTTTGTTGTTATTCTATTGATTTATTTATTTTCTTTAAGATAAAAACGATGTCGTTTGATACACCAGCTCTTGTTGTTATTGGCCGTATTGGTATTCTTTCTGTGATTATTTTATTGTATTTAAAAATAAAAATCAATCAAATAATACTGAACAATCTAAACGAAAAAAATGATTATTACATTAAAAAATCCTGATATTAAATATCGATTTTCTCTGGCTTATAAAGAAATAACGATCACGAATTTGATAAATCAATTGAATTAATATAATCATTTATTGATTGTCATCAACAATTTTATCTTCTTTTATTGATCATACTTGAGCTTTAGTCTTTGTTTACATTCGAGAAAGATTTTTCTCGAATGTTTTTTTAAAGAAATGGAGCATTCTCTTTGGATTTAGTTCGGAGAATGCAATTTTTTTAAGATCGGAACTCACAATGAAGCCCAGTTCCTTTTATCCGTACATCGTAATAAATCATGTCTCAGTGATTTTATGTTTGAGAGTTGAGACGTAGTTTCTTTAGAATCATCTTATCGTAGAGATGCGTTGCTGTTATTCTTTTCTACGTGCTTTTGATTTTAAGGGACAAAGCGACAGTGAAGGTTTGCTGTCAATTCTGGCGCATTTGTAGTGGAAGCAGGTACAAAAATGGAATATGTTCTTTTTTGTTTTTATTGTTGTGCACATTATTTTTATTTTTTGACGATGTTACTAGGGATGCAACGGTGACGGTGGCCCACCAGTCCACCGTTCACCGGGCTCACCGGTGGCACCGGTGAGGCCGGAGGGCGATGACCGTCACCGTTGCATCCCTAGATGTTACAAAACAACAACAAGAAATAGTTCACCAAAAAAAACAATATGCTAGCACGCAACAACTCGATAATCAAAACGTGAATTGACATTCAGTGGAGGATTTCGTGCAAGAGCTCCAATTTTCACTATTGATTGTTCCGAAAGTAATGAAATTTGTAAGAGTGTTTACATCTCTTACATTTAATCGCTATTGCCAAGTCATCTTGAAATGGACCATTTGGGTCACATAAACCAATTGTTTTCCAGTCATCAAAACAATCCGAACAAGTATTTTTGTACATTGCTTGACATTTATAACAACAATCTTTATTGCAAATTTCACAATACATGCTTTTTCCATTGTCCATTTTTTTATCGATCTTGTGTGTTTCTTCTGTAGAAATAAGAATCTAGGAGATTAAATGAAAAACCATATATCTACCAAAAAAGCTTGTTAAGGGACACAAATAACCTTTAAATTCAGTTTCTGAGTCATTCGACAACAAAATACTTGGTTTCACAACCTTACCTTACAAATATACGTAAAATCGATTAAAACTAATCTTTTAAAAGGCAAATAGGAATAAAAATGCAGTTTTCGTTTTTATTTCTGATGAAAAAGGAAAAGTTGTTGCGATTTTTACGGGAAACTCAAGTCTTGAAAGATGAGTTGTCCCTGCGTATTTATCTATGCTACGTTATCGAAAGACAAAAAGATCACTGAATCTTATTGTTAGGAGCAATACCAAAAACAAACGACTTACTTAAGAAAAAAAAACAATGTTGTATAAGTTATAAATTCGTTTAAAGTAGATTCTTAAGTTATTCCGTTAGGATATATTATTTCTTCTATTGATAATAGCCAAAGACGATTGTATTCGTTACACACAAGTTTTATCTTGTTTATTGTAAAAAGCTGTTAGCGCAATTCCTTGCGGGATTAAAAATGTGAAACACGATGTAGCTGCTATAGCCGATGTTCTAAAACCTGATGTTTTTTATGCATACTGATGTACATTTCTTCATAATGGTTTATCTTACATCATAGACTTTCAATAGGATAATACTCCATATATGCTTTAAGCATATGTGAGTTATGCATCATTTCTGATATTTCCTTGAAGTCTTCTATCACAGTCTATAATGATCTCTGAGTCCTGTCTGTCACAGTCTGTGATGGGTCCAAAACCTGTCTGTCACGGTCTGTGATGGATAATTAGTTAATTATATAGTAATTAATCAGTTAATTACATAATAATTAATTAATTAAAAAGTCTGTCACGGTCTGTGATGGGTGTGGATGTGGGTGTGGGTGTGGGTGTGGGTATGGGTGTGTG